GCAGCATACGTAGAAATTAAATATTTAAATTAATATATATACACTATGCATACGATGAGTCGCAATAACGTGGCTGATGATATGATGACTCCACATCAGAAGATGAAGAGACGAGGACGTTTCGGTCCGTCCTGGACCACAATCGACTTGATAATTGTACAAGATGGATCGAAACGTCGTCGTCTTCTTATCTCTCGATGTGTGGTTTGGTTATCATATATAATCCATGTGAGAGAATGTCTGTCTGACAAAAGTTTAGGTAAGTTTTCAAGAGCTCTTAGGGCTAGTTTAACTGTCCATTTTCGAGGGAATGGTCGCATTTTCGCGTCTAAAGAGAGAAGATAGGGCCTCAATATACCAGGATGTAGGAAAAGAACGTGATTGGCTGCAAGCCCTGAATTTACCACATTGTATCAATTCGTGGTATTGATACAATACCAAACTGATGGCATTGTAGCCATCAATTTTCGCTGAATTGATGGATTCATTAATCTGGAATCCATCAAATCCACGATGTATTTGTAGTTTCTAGTTCATCCTCTGTTCTCTGTTCATCCAGCAGTGAATGGGGACCTGGTTATTCAACGATTTGGTGGATTGTAATCCGGGGAAAAATTTGGATTTAGTGGCTTTGTAAGAATGTATGAACTCTTGTAAGAACTCTTATTCAGTGGAGAACAGTTGCAGTGAGAGAGTGTATTGCAGAGTGTAAATGTCTATTGCTCTATGAGACATTAGCAGTGAAGTGCCATGAAGGATTAATTTTTCTCAGTAACATTTGCTGTGTAAATTGGGCAGTCAAATAGCTCGGTGCAAAACAGTGAAGGTTGTTGTGGCATTTGTGGAAGTGGTAGCGTTTGAGATCCTCTCGGACGTTGGTTCGAATCCTCGTCACGGCCCTTGTGGATTTGTTCATATGATGCATCACGCTATTGTGATTTCTGTGTGTAATGAAGTGATAGCCTTCGGAGGACTGACTCAATTGCATGTTTGGGGTTGACTGTAGGGAAGAGATACTTGATTCTGTAGCGACGAGAGGTTTACCTACAGGTTTACTGACCTATTGTAGGTAAATCACAGGTTTACCTACAGTCGTCTTTAGGTATTTCAACATTTAGATTTCTTAACGTGGTTAAAGACACTGTGAAGATTAAGAAGTAAGCTTCAGATATTGTTGTATAGAGCAATGTTCATTTTTTTTTCCTATTTTTCCTGATACCAACCAGGTATCAACCAGGTTGATACCTGGTTGATGGGGTTCTGGGAGTTCTTCTACTCCCGAAGCCCGGCCCGAGGCCAGGCTTGACTTGTGAGAGTTTGGTCCACCAGGCTGTTGCTTGGAGTGGCCCGCAGACCCACATACCCACCACAGCCCGGTTGGTCCGGCACTCCTTGAAGGAAACAATCTAGTTTCCTCTTGAAAATGTCCACGGTTGATGCCACTTTTCTTATTTTGCGATACTCAGCTGTATGCTTTCTGAGAGTAATTCTTTCTTAGAGTAATTCTTTCTTTCTTTTTGAGAGTAATTTAATTCTTTTAACCACACATGTTATACCCACCAGTTGGGTGATTAAATTTCAATATAAAAGGCTATTAGAGTAATACGTTTGTGATTCTCTTTTAAGTAAGTTCCATGAATAATGCGTTTCCGTATCTTAATAACTGTGGGACATTTGATTGCGTATCTAGATTGAGAGTAAATTGCCTCATACATTATGAGGCAAAGTGAGGCAGTGTGCCTCACTTTGGAGGTAATGTGTTGATATTAGACAATAGACCTTTGCAGGAGGGTAGATATAGCCTTACCTACTCTTTCCTTTTGATATGTAGTTTATTGTCTTAATAAATGTACTTGAACTTGATATTAGACCTTGGGTCTAGGGAAGTTGATGAAGGATATATTGCCACTCTCGATATAGTATAGTATTAAGTATTAATTAGTATTAAGTAGTAGTATTATAAGAACTAGTATTATATTCATGATTGTTTTGGGGTATCCTAATATCCATTTGTATTGACTACATAGAGTATGCTATTTTAAGTCCTATGTATTATACAGTGGGCACTGGATGAGGGGCAATCCTTTGCCTGTGCATTGCAAAGTGGGCATGTGCAATAGCGGTATTAGTGACCCCTTATCCCGTGGGTGGTGTTAGTGACCCTTATCCCGTGGGTGGTGTTATAGTGGCCTCTGAACCCGTAGGGTGGTGTTAACGACCATTAATCGTGAAGGAAACGACTCTGACATTTAAATTGTCGTCCGGCTGTGTTGACATTGGAGATAAATGATATAAAACTCGATTCCACGTGTGCTGAGAGTGACGTGATTGATTCTCAGAACTAATTTGTAGAGTCGAGCGACCATCTCCCTCCAACACATTACCTCTGTCTCTCTCTCTGTCTCTGTCTCTCTCTCTCTCTGTCTCTCTGTCTCTCTCTTCTTCCTCTCCCTCTCTCACTTTATCCTCCACCTCTTCCACACTCACAGTTAACCATTAAACGTTTTTCTTCCTACCTTCAAACGTTCCTGCCTCCTTCTGCCTCTCTTTCCTCTACTTCCTCCTTATCTTTTTCCCTCCTTTTCCTTATCATTTTTTCATCTTTACTCCTCATGTCCCTCCTTCCTCACCTTGCTCCCTTCTCTCCCTGCAGCCTCCTCACCCTTCTCTATCCTCACCCTGCGGATCTGGGCAAATGGAGGATAGTCATACTAAGCTCTGTCCAAATCAGTTCAAAGGTGTCCGAATGCTTTCGCGCAAATACCAAAGGCTGTTCGGATTACTTTATCTATGTTATGGTAGAATACCGAACACGGCTCTTAATCCTCTTAACCGTACGTGTGATTATGTATTAATATTCAACCGTATGTGTGTTATACATATTCGTGTATTTCTGCCTTGCTGTGATTCGTAATTTCCTCTTGTGTATTTACTACTGTGTATGTAGAATCGAGCTATTAGCTCTTGGACTCCCCCTTTCTAATCAATTTATTTTTTCTCTGTTATATCTATTATTGTATGCATATGCATGGTTATGCTGAATGTGCATATATATATATATATATATATATATATATATATATATATATATATATATATATATATATATATATATATATATATATATATATATATATATATATATATGACAATGTCAGACCACGGAGGAAAATGAATTTGAAAAAACAGGAATTTCCTTAAATTAAAGGAAATTCCTGTTTCATTTTCCTCCGTGGTCTGACATTGTCACATTCTTAATCACGTGTTTATTTTCGTGATATACACACACACACACACATATATATATATATATATATATATATATATATATATATATATATATATATATATATATATATATATATATATATATATATATATATATACGACGACGGCCGTGCAGGTGGCGCTGGTAGCTTCTGTAACTATGAACCGGCTCGTTAACTGCTTGTTTGAGATGGCGTGAGCTCCCGAGGCGTCGCCAGGTGCGAGGAGGGTGACGGGCCGCGGGGGGGCAGGTAGACTGGTGGTACTGTCTAGACGTCTGGAAAGTAGTTGTTGTTGTTGTTGTTGTGGCTGAAAATCCACAGAGAAATGGAAAAGGAAGATGGGAAGATTTATCACGCGTATTTTAAGACCTAAGAATACGCAATTAGTATACATGTCAACTGTATACAAGTTCATACACATCCTTGCTCCCTCTTCGCCTGCCTTAACAACCACAGAGCCGGGAATTAGAGCGAACTAGGGCATCGTCAGCTTGAGACCTATTAGTCACTCCCTGCATATACTGACTAGAGGGAGCGAGGTTCATAAATTACTGAGGTCAACATTCTTACGCGAGGATGTAGGCAAGAACACGGTAAGAATATTGAAATATGTACTATAAATGCAGTGAATAACTCACAACACAGAAGGGTTTGATTATTCACAGTAAATATTCATTCATTCACCAGAGTAATGTCATAGTGATGTATAGTGAGGAGAGATTGATGTCTCAGAATATAGTGGATATTGATGTCTCAGAATATAGTGGATATTGATGCCTCAAAATAAATTTAGTTCAAATATCTATACAAGATAAATCTTCTTGTGCACTGACAGATTTATTCAGTTTAATGTATCTGGAAAACATTTGTGTATATTTTTTGGGACAAATCTCTTTTATCAGCGTCAATACACGCATGCTTTTTATTTTTAAAAACTGGCTAACATAATTAAATTTAACATTAATTAGATCTTAAATCATAGTTAATTTATTTTAATCATGATATTCATAAAGCATTTTATTATATAATTTGATTTTACGTTTTATTTTACACATTTAAGGAAATTAAAATGACAAGAACAATAAAAAATTATTTCTTCACGCACTAAATTACTGTATTATACAAACAGCTGGTCACAATATATATAGAATTTCCCCAAAATGTAGCCAATCAAATGTATAGTGATCGCATCATCTTTCCTCAATCATAGAGGGTTCGATTCCATGTCCAACTACTTGGGTTGGATGGTAGAGCGACGGTCTCGCTTCATGCAGGACGGCGTTCAATCGCCGACCGTCCAAGTGGTTGGGCACCATTCCTTCCCCCCGTCCCATCCCAAATCCTTATCCTGACCCCTTCCTAGTGCTATATAGTCGTAATGGCTTGGCGCTTTCCCCCTGATAGTTCCCTTCCCTTCCACTTATAAAACAGTTGATGAACTTCGGAACTACACAATCCAATTGTTATAGAAGCAACCTGGTATAGTGCTTCGGAGCTCATAACCTGTTTAATTCATGTAAGCAAAGCCGCCATGATTGTGGAAAGATGTACGGGTTTCGTAAGAGGTTGCATAAATACTTGATGTATCCTGGCCCCCAGATCCATTAGGTACCTTCCTGTTCTCACCTCTGAGCTGTGGAAGAGCTGAGGACCAGGCCAGGATATATTTCAACGCAGATACATATTTTCCTCCAATCTAACTACACAAAAATAAATAAAATTGACGGTGGGATGAGTCAGTACGATCCAGGACAGGACGAGCCAGGACAGTACGATCCAAGACAGTACGAGCCAGGACAGTACGATCCAAGACAGTACGAGCCAGGACAGTACGATCCAAGACAGTACGAGCCAGGACAGTACGATCCAAGACAGTACGAGCCAGGACAGTACGATCCAAGACAGTACGAGCCAGGACAGTACGATCCAAGACAGTACGAGCCAGGACAGTACGATCCAAGACAGTACGAGCCAGGACAGGACGATCCAAGACAGTACGATCCAGGACAGTACGAGCCAGGAGAGTACGATCCAAGACAGTACGAGCCAGGACAGGACGATCCAAGACAGTACGATCCAAGACAGGACGATCCAAGACAGTACGATCCAAGACAGTACGAGCCAGGACAGGACGATCCAAGACAGTACGATCCAAGACAGTACGAGCCAGGACAGTACGATCCAAGACAGTACGAGCCAGGACAGTACGATCCAAGACAGTACGAGTCAGGACAGGACGATCCAAGACAGTACGATCCAGGACAGTACGAGCCAGGACAGTACGATCCAAGACAGTACGAGCCAGGACAGGACGATCCAAGACAGTACGATCCAAGACAGGACGATCCAAGACAGTACGATCCAAGACAGTACGAGCCAGGACAGGACGATCCAAGACAGTACGATCCAAGACAGTACGAGCCAGGACAGTACGATCCAAGACAGTACGAGCCAGGACAGGACGATCCAAGACAGTACGATCCAAGACAGGACGATCCAAGACAGTACGATCCAAGACAGTACGAGCCAGGACAGGACGATCCAAGACAGTACGATCCAAGACAGTACGATCCAAGACAGGACGATCCAAGACAGTACGATCCAAGACAGTACGATCCAAGACAGGACGATCCAAGACAGTACGATCCAAGACAGGACGATCCAAGACAGTACGATCCAAGACAGGACGATCCAGGACAGTACGAGCCAGGACAGTACGATCCAAGACAGTACGATCCAAGACAGGACGATCCAAGACAGGACGATCCAAGACAGTACGATCCAGGACAGTACGAGCCAGGACAGTACGAGTCAAAATAAGATGAACCAAGCTGGGATGACCCAGACTTGGCTATACTGGAAAACATAGTCTCTACAATATTAACTACAACCGTAACCCTTAACATCATCCATAACACAACGTCCCCCAATAACTCCCCCTCCCCAGCAGCTCTCACAGCAACATCTTCACAGCATCCCCCCTCCCCCCCTGACAACTGCTCCCTCTAGAGGAAGCATCTAGAGCAGCAGCATCATTACTGGAGATGAACAAACCTGTATATACCTATCCCCCAGGGGCAAGAACCTGCCACAGGGACCGGATGACTGCTATGCTCTACCTTCAAGTGAAAAAAGAAATTGCTGCAGGAATATAGGAAGAAGGAAGATGGGGGATGAGGTGAGAGAGAGGGGAAGATTGAGAAGAAAATAGAGAGAGAGGAGGAGGAGAGGAGAAGAAAGGGAGAATAGGTTATAAAGGTAGAAGACATACAAGAAGGAATTAAAATATTAAAGATCCTGGAGATGTAGGTAAAAAGAGATATTGGGAGATGAATTTAAGATGAATTTCTGATGTCCATCTCATGTGACAATCAGAAAACACTGATGGTTTGCCCCTGATAAGCAAACATACACAAACTCCCACACACACACACACACACACACACACACACACACACACACACACACACACACACACACACACACACACACACACACACACACACACACACACACACACACACACACACACACACACACACACACACACACACACACACACTCACACACACACACACACACACACACACACACACACACACACACACACACACACACACACACACACACACACACACACATACACCCGCCTCTTCCGTAGATCCAGGATTCAATCCTTGCAAATGGCTCCGACGCTAAATCCATGATCCGGTAGAGCAAATGTTGCAACGAGTCTGGAAATGTGTTGCTTTGGTCAGAATGTTCCATGTCCCTTACTCCGCCAAGGGGGGCTGCGGATTCCTTACTAAGTAATCCCATCTATAGTTGTGAAAACTCAATGAACTAAGTTTGGATTGATTGAAATCCAGTTTCTCTTCGGCAGAGGGACTTATGCGGGCATTGGCCCCTATACCTGATCAACCAGGCTGTGACTCATACGTCAGGCTGCGAGCAGCCGCGTCCAACAGCCTGGTTGATCAGGCCAGCAACCAGGAGGCCTGGTCGACGACCGGGCCGCGAAGACGCTAAGCCCCGGAAGCACCTCAAGGTAACCTCAAGGTATCCTATTATTATTAGGGAGCCGGTCGGCCGAGCGGACAGCACGCTGTATTTGTGATCCTGTGGTCCTGGGTTCGATCCCAGGCGCCGGCGAGAAACAATGGGCAAAGTTTCTTTCACTCTATGCCCTAGTTACCTAGCAGTAAAATAGGTACCTGGGTGTTAGTCAGCTGTCACGGGCTGCTTCCTGGGGGTGGAGGCCTGGTCGAGGACCGGGCCGCGGGGACACTAAAAAGCCCCGAAATCATCTCAAGATAACCTCAAGATATATCCTCCCTTCCCCTAACTAAAAATGTATTAAATATCAAGTTAATACTTTTAAATCGATGTATATCTTGATATTGATTTATTAGACGAAGTATGACTTAATATCTTAAGTATGTATGTATGTATGTATGTATGTATGTATGTATGTATGTATGTATGTATGTATGTATGTATGTATGTATGTGTGTAAAAGTATGACTTAATGTCACTCCTTCCAGTTGAACTCTAACACTTAAACACATGTCTGTGTTTGTGGGTGATGAAAACTTAATGAGATGTGTCGGAATAAAAGATTTAAGAATACTCCTGGAAGATCCAGAGAGAGAGAGAGGCTGTAAATTGGGTCCGGGACATGGCTGCTGGAATTTAACACGAGCGAGTGTAAGGTTCTGAGGATGGGGATGACAGGAGACTAGCAGTTTCACAGTTAAGTAAAAACCATCTCACTGAATCAATTAAAGACAAATACGTAAGCATAGACAGCTCTAAGGCATTCAGATTAATTAACTTTAGCAGCTAACTCTAAACTGTCGAGAATAGAACAACCATCACGAACATCAATAAGAAAACATTCGGAATACCCTACATACACCATCAACGTGAGACAAGTTCCATAGTATGCAGCCCCGTCATGGCGCCCACCCAGTCATGAAAGCACATCAGGAAACTTGATAATGTGCAGAAATTTGCAAAGTGCACATCCCGGTATTACGTGGAATTAAAAACCGCGGAATGGCTCTAAGAACTGGACGTAACGAACCGAGAAAAGAGCAGAGAGAGGAGACATGATGACATAAATTACTCGCTAAAGCAGAACTAGCGGGAAAAGGAGAAAATGTTCACACAACGAATGCCATTTAGAACAAAATGGCTTGGACAGAAGGCTGTGTCGTGGCAACGGGGCGTTATGAAGACGCCGTAACCACATTATTACAGCGTTACAGAAGTAGAGAAAATGAAATAGAGTTGCCGAGCAGCGTGTATAGCAGCCGTCTCCGCCAACAATTTTAAAAATAAATATAATATGAGAGATGCAGGTCAGGACTCAGTGCCTCAGAGCGCCGTGGGTGGGAAAGCTCGCGATAAAGATTCGAGTCTTATTTTGGTAAAGGTTTGGACTTCAAGAGTCACGAAATTCAGAATTCACGAAATTCAGAATTCACGAACTTCAGGAGTCACGAACTTCAGAGGTAAATCAGAGGTTATAAGCGAGTTCATTTCGTTTACTGGGGAAGAGAAAGAGTTTGAAATATGGATTAAATATCGAGTTACAGCTAATCTCGAGAATATATTACAAAATATACCACTCCAAAAAACATTTGAGATCATTCTCTAGTTATCACGTCATGTGTTGCAAGATTGCAAATGATAACGGTAAGAGATTTAGGGATATTTATTTATTTTGCGTCCAAACGTAAAACTGCATGTTTGTGTGTTTTTCTCAAGGTATCTTTCGGATTCGAGAGTCATCCGAGATTACTGTGGACAGACTGATTCGTTATCCGTCCAATGGATTGGACGTCATGATTACTTTTGCTAGTAACACTGGCTGCCCAATCGTTTCTCTGGGTATTTTGTTTGTAATAATATCTCTCCAAAGTCATCCATTTCCCTGCAAAGGGAAGTTTAATTCCTATATCCTTTCCTCATAACTTTCCCCTTAGTTCAAAGACCAGTGTGGTGGCATACATTTAAACTTTACAAACACAGATGCTAGCCTTGAGAAGTTGAAACAGACTGCAATCGACTTGAGAATGGTCCAGGACGAACCGAAACGTCGTCGTCCCTTCACTTTCTAGTGTGTGGTTTGGTCAACATATTCCAGCCACGTTATTGTGACTCCTCGTCTGCTCACAGATGCTAGCCATTCAGAAGGCTTAGGAACATGCTCTTGTTGAACACTGATAACACGTTATCATGCATTCAGATTATAAAACTGCCATTGAAACCTTGCAACAAGAAAATTTACGTGACAACATCCTTCTGGCCACAAATGTTGTAGCATTCGTGCCCTCGAACGTCAAAATCGTCGAAAACTCCTCATCTGGGTACCAAGTCATGTAGGAATGCTAGGAAATGACACTGCAATGAAACTGCATAACTTGCAACTTAAGGGAGGAATGCAGAAATTTACATACCACAGAGTCTATCACAGGATAAGAATATAGATAAAAATAGAGTAATGCAGATGTGCAATGATCATATCACAACCGCTACAACCTCGCTAACTGCTGGTTGGTACAAGGACTCAGTCAACTGCAAACAGTTTATTTTGATGAATGCAAACAAAAGAAAAACAGATGAGCACTTCGCATCAGGCTTGCAAGCCCGTGGACATGCAGGGAAATAGGCTTACAGGTTACAGAAGAAGAACAGAGGAAATGCCAGCACTGTGGAGAAATGCCCGACAGACCACTGGAACATTATCTAACACAGTGCACAGTTACCAACCAAATAATATTTTAGCTGAGATTTAACAGCACATAAGATGTTGTTAAACACATGGGGGGATGGGGGGGGGGGCATAATCTTACTGAGGTCAACATACGAGTTATAAATACTCATCCACTGCTTAAGTTAGACAAATATGACTTAAAACTCTTTGTGGGTCAGCCAGAGGCTTAGGGCCCAACAAGAATATCCCTGCACAAACACTCTACAACCAAACAATAACAACTACAACAACAACTACAATAAAAACATAACAAGGACGCCACCACCACCACCACCAACAACAGCCACAAACACAATAACAAGAACAAAACACTAAATCAGTCAACTTTTATGGAGCTTCCCATTACCAAAGCTGATATCAAGAGCAATAGGGCTCTCGTGTTTCAAGTATTGAGAGAAGTCCTGAATAGCCTTTTGTGTAATTTTCTGTTTAATAGAAATTTGATATCAGACTAGTGGGCTGGTTCATGGAATTATGGTGGGGGGGGGGGGGGGGGAGTTGGGGGGAAGGAGTGGGGGTGTATGAGTGGGTGTGTGGGTGTTGCGGTGGGGGTGTGGGTGTTGCAGTGGGGTGTTGCGGTGGGGGTGTGGGTGTTGCGGTGGGTGTGTGGGTGTGTGGGTGTTGCGGTGGGTGTGTGGGTGTTGCGGTGTGTGTGTGGGTGTTGCGGTGGATGTGTGGGTGTTACAGTGGGGGTGTGGGTGTTGCGGTGGGTGTTTGGGTGTTGCGGTGGGTGTGTGGATGTTGCGGTGGATGTGTGGGTGTTACAGTGGGGGTGTGGGTGTTACAGTGGGGGTGTGGGTGTTACAGTGGGGTGTTAGGGTGTGGGTATTGGGAGAGGGGGGAATGTTGAATTTAAATAAAGTGTTTTTTTTTTTAATCTCTTCATAAGAAAGGGTTTTAATTCCTGGGTTTAACTTTGTCATTCTTTTTATGAACGTATTTCAGTGTATTTATTGTATTCTACACTAAGAAGTCCCACACATAACATCTTAACCTAAACGGGGGACTTGGCAGGATTAAGTTGAAGAAAAAATTTAGA